TGTGAAATGCGAACTCTGGTACTAACGTTTTCTTTTTGTGTCGCTCTTCTTGCAGGTCCATGTCCTGCTGCTCGGCATGGATTTCGGCGCAGAGTGCTGCTTCGGAGATTCTCCCGTGTGCTCGTAGTATGGCGCGAGTGGAGCGCCAGTGGGGGCCAAGACCGCCGATGACTACCGTGACGAAGGCGTCTTCTGAAATTGATCCTCCACATCGAAGAAGCTTGTCGCGCAGTTCGCGGCAGCGACTGATATATGCCATACCCTTCTCGCCTGGTTTCATTTCGATTGTTGTCAGCTGCGCCATTAACCGGCTTTGATTTACACTGTTTGTTGCTTGATACAGGTTCTTCAGGTGGTTGTACGCGAGCTCCGCGGAGTTGCCGTAACCTCGGTAAGTCCTGATGTTCTGCTGCTGGGTCAGGGTGATGTTCCTCAATAGTATTGTGTACGCCATCATTGATTGATAGGTGTACTGCTGCTTCTCATACTGCGTGCCGTTTGTTGGATATGGCAGGGACCCGTCGAAGAAGCCAAGAATCTGTGCTCCTTCCATCATCAGCTCGAATTCGAACGACCAGGTGAAGAAATCCTTTCCGTCGAAAGGTTTTGTCGTTTGAAGTTTTAGGACATGCGCGAATTGCGATTGAACTTGTAATGCGTCCAGTGCTCTTTCTTGTCCCAGTGCAGATTGCGATTGCGGCATGAAGCTGACGGAACCACGCTGGGGCTCGTCCGGAGCGAAGGTAGGTTGTTGTTGTTGTTGATTCCCGCGTGCGTAGGATGAGCCATCGAGACTCATGGGTGTCACGTTGTTGTTGTTGTTGCTGTTGTTTGACTGCGCAGGTACTCCTTGCTGATGCTGCTCGTAGAAGGACATGAAGGAGAAAAACTTCTCCATCATACTTGGATCGAAGCCCGCGGGTGTTTCCGTAGACCCAGCTGCTGGTCTCGTGGTTGTCCCTTCCTCTGTCTGTAGGCCAGAGACAGGAGGTGGAGTAGGGGTAGTGCCGGGAGAGCCGTTGGAGGAGCTCCTCTCCTTTCTAGCAGACATGTCTTCTTTGTATTGAGTGTTGAAGAAAAAAAAAGGTAACTTTGAACTCTAACTTGCTCTCATACCATGTTGGGCTGAGGTGCCCTAGGATCTTTGTAGAGTTAAAGTTGAGTAGAATGATGTAATAGCGGAAGCGTTTGAATAAAAGTCCTTGAACCACCTTGCGCTAGTATGTGAGGGCAAAGTAAGTTGATTAAGACAAGGAAATACAAAGATTTATATAAGAGTACAAGGAATACGAGTAGATATAATTAAACTGTTTTACTGTTGCAATTCGATACAGTGCGACTCGGGCAACTGCTCAATGTCGAGTCAGTTGTGTGTCATTGCTGTCGCGCTGTATTTGTCAAGTCAAAGGTCGCTGACCTTTGACCTTCTCGTAACCTCCAGCGGTTACCTTAACCTTCGAGGGTTGACTCGTAATGCTTCGATTTTAGCTGCTTCGCTTGTGTCCTGAGTTTCGACACGACAGAGGCGCTTAAGACTTGTTGTTCCCAACACTCATAACAATCTGAAGGATGGGTTATCGGGAGGAAATTTCAAAGAAACTTCCTCTCGATAAGGTCAAATACAGGTACCACAGAGTCGATACTCTCTTAAGTCAGGGTCCGCTAACAGGCTAGTCTGTTACACTGTACTCAAAATATGGGATACGAAATCTATTACTCTGATTGGATCAGGATTGAGAAATCATTAATTCTGAAATTTCAGTCTCCACAAAGTGGAAAGCCTGAAATCACCCTAAAATCAGGGTAACTACCCTAATAAAAACAGCCCTGGTTCCACACAGCACGGAGGTGACTTGTGAGTTGACTCAAAAGTAAAACTTTAGGATAATTTGGAAAAAGTGTGCACTGTATTGTAAGAGATCCTTCCAAGATTTATACCCGGTAAGGGTGTCATGTCACGCATAGGTCTGAACAAGGCATCTCTGGCTGACTTAGGGTAGTAGAAGCAGGCAGAGGCAAAAGGGGACACTATTGTTGAACCTTTCAACATTAGGCCCTGGAAAAATAAGGTTATTGAGCTGGTTTGTCATTCAATGAGCATGCCTGCACAGCCACTGAAATAACCAGCGAGGGAGAGAATGGTACAACGGGGGGAGGGGGCTGGAAGAGAACAAGAAAAAGGTTGTGGTTGAAGCATAGGCTGTGATGGCACAACATGAAGTGAAGCGGGGATAGAAGGGGGGAAATGGGATGGAAACATACAGGGAAGACGGAGATAGGAAAGATGGGAGACAGGGAAGAGGGGGGAGAGGGAAGGGAGGAGATAGGAAGAGAGGGGAGAGGGAGAGGAGACAGGGAAGAGGGAGAGGAGACAGGGAAGAGGGAGAGGAGACAGGGAAGAGGGGAGAAAGACACGGGAGCAGATAGGAAGAGGGAGTGGGAATGGAGGAGACAGGGAAGGGGGGAAAGATAGGCAGAGGGAAGAAATGAGGGGAAGGGGGAAACGAGGGGAAGGGGGAAACGAGGGGAAGGAGGGCAAAAATGAGGGGAAGCAGGGGGGGGAAATGAGGGAGAGCAGGGGGGGAAACGAGGGGAAGCAGGGGGAAAATGAGCGGAAGTAGAGGGGGGGGGATGAGGGGAAGCAGGGCGGGAAACGAGGGGAAGCAGGCGGGAAAACGAGAGGAAGGAGGGATGGAAATGGGGGGGAGCAGGGGGGAAAACGAATGGAAGCAGGGGGGGAAAAGGAGCGGAAGCAGGTGGGGGAACTGATTGAACGGACTGAGAGTGATCCGAGGAGAAACTGAGGGCAACCATTTGCCATGAGAAGGAAGAGGGCGGGGTGTGTGAGAAGACGGGCGCGACGATTGTAAGACTGGCGACTGTCCCGGGAGGATAAATGGCCGATTCCCGAACGTGAGAGGGCGGGTGCGCCGAAAGTGACTTGTCCAGGAGAGCAGTATGTGAGATGGGCGAGGAAAGGTAGTGGGAGTGGAAGACTGGCTGGTGGTGACGAGCTAGAGTGCACGGGGAGGCGCGTTATGAGGCGCCTCAAAAGTCGTCTCAAAAGTTTTGAGGCGCCTCAAGAGTGCAAGGCTGGTGGCGACGAGCTAGAGTGCGCGGGGAGGCGCGTTGAGGCGCGGCGACTTTTGAGTCGACTCAAAAGTCACCTGGTGGCTACGAGCTAGAGTGCGCAGGGAGGCGCGGAGAGGCGCGGGGAGGCGCGGGGAGGCGCGGGGAGGTGCGAAGGCAGCCGCGTTACCGTCCTCATTTTCCTAGTCGTCGCGTGAAGCTCGCAAGTCTCTCAGGTGAATGAGAGGCGCACCAAATGGACATGCTACTCTCTTCGCGCGCACTTGGATCTTTTTCAGATGCCGAAGCTGCGATACTACGCTCTATGCAAGTACAATACTGTGAGACGGTTTTACTGTGGAGGGTTTCAGCTTCGCGCCCAACCCATCAGTGATTCCGCGTCCGCCACCCCCATAAAAGTTCTCTTGTAATATGTTGGTTACAGGTTTCTGACTGTCGCCAACCAGCTACTCATCGTTTTTGTATTCGCACATGCGAAAAGTGTTCGCCTGAGCTCGAAAAATCAAACAGCCCCCAAACGTACAGCGCGAAATAGATATTTGTTGGTGCGAAAAGAAGCGAGGGTGAAACTGGAGGGAGGCGAGAACTGAATCTTGTCCGAAAGACGCCCTCCTTCAACCACTCCCTCTGTGCCGCAAGCGGGAAGCTTTTCTGCTCAACCTCCCCTGCCCAAACCCTAGTTCTTGTTTGGTGTCCCTATTTAGTTGTCAGCCTTACGGAGTAGTGTCTCGGTGTCACGCTTGCACAGCGGGTTCAGTGCGTCCGAGCATCCCGACTAAACGTGCCGAGACTCGCAAGTCAGAATCTTCACGGTTGTAGTTTTTTCAGGTGATTTTTCGTCTTCTCACTGATTAGATTTATGAGGAAAGTGTCGATGGGTTGATTTCATGACATGTTTTTTTGTCTATTCGCCTTCCCGCTTTTTTACGCAAAAAATACTGCTGTTGGTCATGTTCTCTCTTCCTTGCACGTTCTGATGCATGATAGTCAACTCCCTGTTCTTGCTCTATCTAGTTATGAGGGAGGGCGGGAAGGACGGTTGGTGTTTGCAATATGTCACGCACGCCGTCGATCTGGTTCAGATGGACGGCTAGTGGAGGGCTTTGGACTATACCGGAAGGGAGCCTTGCACCTTATGCGGAGGGAGCGTTGGATCTTATATGGAGGGAGCATTGGACCTTACATGGAGGGAGCCTTGGACCTTATATGGAGGGAGCATTGGACCTTATATGGAGGGAGCATTGGACCTTATATGGAGGGAGCATTGGATCTTATATGGAGGGAGCTTAAGGAGGGAGCAATAAGGAGGGGGCCTTCGAGCCGTCTTCCATGCGGTCTGAACCCTCCCTTGCTACTCCCCTCCCCGGACGAGCATCTTACTTTCGTTAGGGCAAGAGATGCACTATTCAATGCAGTTCGGTTGTCTAGCGTACGTCGATCAGAGCTTGGAAAGCGAAGCAAGCGGAAATAGCTTGTGTGTTGTCCGACGTCGTGTTGCGTATAGATCTGTGACGAAAGCCTGAGTTTTTTAAACAGGGGTAGCCGCAAGGGGAGAAGCAGCGCGCGTCTGTGCCCAGCAGCGAGACGACGTAGCGTGTGTCTCGCCTTAACACTCGAGGTCGTAAATGAGATCTGGTGCCGTGGAGGTGTAGTGTAAGAGTCGTTTACCAAGATCTCAGATAGCAAGTAAAATCTGAGATAGCTAGTATTTGTGAGGATATAAGGGCCTTGCAAAAGTATCCGAGGTCGCGAATACGTGTGAGGACGTTAGGAGTCTTGTGTTTCGTGCCCGACTCTACCCGAAATGCTTCGTCCTGTCTTTGCGAGATTTGAGCTTCTCTAACCTTTCCCTTACCCACTTTCGCCCCTTCTACCGCGTGTATCGTTCCATTCACTACCTTCCGACTCAGATCTGACCGGAATCCTTGGTGCCACCGACGACCGTCGGATCGACCGTGCATGTCGAGCAGCATGAGCGGGCGGTCGCACCGCACGGTGTATGTGGGCAACCTGCCCGGCGACACGCGCGAGAGCGAAGTCGAGGACCTTTTCGCCAAGGTGCGGAGCTTTCGGGTGTAGTCGGATGTTATTATAACAGGAGTGGGTGAATATGCTTGTAACGGGTTGCATGGTTGGGGTCCGTCGTACGGTGTATGTGGGCAACCTGCCCGGCGACACGCGGGAGAGCGAAGTGGAGGACCTTTTCGCCAAGGTGTGGGGCTGTTAGTAGGGGTTTCCGGATGTTTTTCTAAATGGGATATGTCGATATGCTCGCAACGGGTTGCATGGTTGCATGGTCGCAACCTTTTTGGGCGCACGTCTGGAATTTTTTCGTGGTAATTTTCCCTTGTGTTTCGTTCTTTGTCGTTGTCGTTTGAATCTTTGCGTATCGTGTGTTTGCCTCTCGTTACCGTGTGCAGTACGGCAAGATCCTCGATATTGAGCTCAAGCTTCCGCCCCGGCCCCCCGGCTTCGCGTTCGTGGAGGTGAGCGGGATCGTGGGTGGGAGCAGAATCGGGAGGGGGATTGGAAGCGGGAGTGGTGGGGGCGGGAGTTGGAGCGGGAGTGGGGGCGGGAGTGGGAGTGGAAGCGGGAGTGGGAGTGGGAGTGGAAGCGGGAGTGGGAGCGGGAGTGGGAGCGGGAGTGGGAGCGTGGGATGAGCTGTTCGCGTGTGTATTAAGTCAACCCGCTCTTCCCCCAGCCCGTCACCCTCTCTTCCCCCAACCTCCCCCGCCCGCGCGCTTCTACCTCTTCCCCCTGCTTCCCTCCCCCCGCCCTTTTCCATTTCTCCCTTTCTTTCCCGCCCCGCGTAACCCTGCCCCTCCCCCGGTACCATCTCCCGTTCGCCACACTTCGCCAGTTCGCGGACCCGCGGGACGCGGAGGAAGCCATCCGCGGGCGGGACGGGTATGACTTCGACGGGAACTGCCTGCGCGTGGAACTCGCTCCCTCCCTCTCCCTCCCCGCTCCCCCCTCCCCCCTCCCCCCTTCTTCCCCTTTCCTTCCCCCTTTCCCCTTCTGTTCATCCTTACACACCCATCTCTTTCTTTCTCTCCCCGTGTAACTTTGTCCCGCATCTCCCTTTCGCCACTCCTCCCCACACTTCGCCACCTTGCCGCAGTTCGCGGACCCCCGGGACGCGGAGGACGCCATCCGCGGGCGCGACGGGTACGACTTTGACGGCAACCGCCTGCGCGTGGAGCTCGCGCACGGTGGCCGCGGAGCAGGGGGCGGGTTCGGGGGGGGGCGGGGGGGGGACTTCCAGCGCGGACCGTCGCGGCGAACAGAGTACCGCGGTGAGTCGGGTGGTTGTGTGACTCTGCTTGGAGTTGTGTTATCAGACTTGCAGGCTCTACCGTTGGCTGATTCGCTAGTCAATGCAGTTGGACTCTTTGAGTTTATTCTGAATAGGCAGGCTTGTGCGTTCCTTATTTCGCCGTCGCTTGTTTCGTTCACTGTGCTTGGTTGTAACATGTTGTGCTTATAATGCATGCCCGTATTGTGCTTGTAACGCATGCCTGTATCGTGCTTGTACTGTGTGCCCCCTGCCCGCCACAGTCATTGTGAAGAATCTCCCCACCTCCGCTTCCTGGCAAGATCTCAAGGTGAGCACTCACATGCCCTCACATGCACTCACATGCCCTCACATGCACTCACATGCACTCACATGCACTCACATGCACTCACATGCACTCACATGCACTCACATGCCCTTGCATGCCCTCGCATGCCCTCGCATGCCCTCGCATGCCCTCACATGCACTCACATGCACTCACATGCCCTTGCATGCCCTCGCATGCCCTCGCATGCCCTCGCATGCTCTCGCACCCCTCGCATCCCCTCGGATCCCCTCGCATGCTCTCGCGCTCCTCTCCTGTGTCGCCCGCACTTCCCCTCTCTCCCGCTCCCTCCTCAGTGTTGCAGTACTCGCCTCTACTGTCTCAACTTCCCCTCTCACCCGCTCCCTCCTCTTTTGAGTCGACTCAAAAGCTCCCTCCTCAGCGTTGCAGTACTCGCCTCTACTGTCTCAACTTCCCCTCTCACCCGTTTGCAACCTTTCCGCCCCTCGTCCGCCTGTCCCTTCGTGCATCAATTGAAATGTTGCCTGTCCTGCTTATTGCAAACCCGCGTTTCTCCTCCTTCATTCTCGCCATTCTCCCTCCATTCCTCTCTCCCCCTCCCCTCCCCCCACCCTCCTCCATCGCTTGCCCCCTCTCGTGCCTTCCTCGCTATTCACCCGCCCTCTCTCCCCCCCACCCCATCCCACCCCCCCCTCTCTCTTCCCCCTCCCGCCCGTGCCCGGTGTGCAGGACCACATGCGGCGGGCGGGCGACGTGTGCTTCGCGCAGGTCTTCAAGGAGAGGGACGGTAAGCACGGGTGGGCAATGGTGGGCAGCGGTAGGCAGGGTGGGCGACGGTGGGCGTGCATGGGCGGGCGACGTGTGCTTCGCGCAGGTCTTCAAGGAGAGGGACGGTAAGCATGGGTGGGCAACTGTACGCGTGGGTGGGCAACGGTGGGTCAGGATGTTGGAATGAAGGGGGGAACGGTGGATGTTGGGTTAAGGGGGGAAGGGAGGATGTTGGATGAAGGGGGAAGGGTGGAGGTTGGACGCGTTGCCACCACACACGCATGCCCTCCCACACTCCTCCCATGCTCCTTTCCCGCTCCTCCCATTGCACTCGGTACATTATTTTCCGGCCATTCCGTTCCTCCCCATTCCCCTATCACTCTTCTTTCATTCTTGAGTTTCAAGGCGTTCAAACTCCCCGCTGGCCCTATCCTTCGCCCTCCCTCCCGCTCCCCGCTTGCCTGCCGTCCTGCCTCCCTCCCTCCCTCGCCTTCCCTCCCCCACCCCGCCTGCCTTCCTCCCTCCCTCCCTCCCTCCCTCCCTCACTCCCTCACTCCCTCCCTCCCTCCCTCCCTCCCTCCCTCCCTCCCTCCCTCCCTCCCTCCCTCCCTCCCTCCCTCCCTCCCTCCCTCCCTCCCTCCCTCCCTCCCTCCCTCCCTCCCTCCCTCCCTCCATCCCTCCCTCCCTCCCTCCCTCCCTCCATCCCTCCCTCCATCCCTCCCTCCCTCCCTCCCTCCCTCCCTCCCTCCCTCCCTCCCTCCCTCCCTCACTCCCTCCCTCCCTCCCTCCCTCCCTCCCTCCCTCCCTCCCTCCCTCCCTCCCTCCCTCCCTCCATCCCTCCCTCCCCCCCTCCCTCCCCCCCTCCCTCCCTCCCTCCCTCCCTCCCTCCCTCACTCCCTCCCTCCCTCCCTCCCTCCCTCCCTCCCTCCCTCCCCCCCTCCCTCCCTCCCTCCCTCCCTCCCTCCCTCCCTCTCCCTCCCTCCCTCCCTCCCCCCCTCCCTCCCTCCCTCCCTCCCTCCCTCCTTCCCTCCTCCCTCCCTCCCTCCCTCCCTCCCTCCCTCCCTCCCTCCCTCCCTCCCTCCCTCCCTCCCTCCCTCCCTCCCTCCCTCCCTCCCCCCCTCCGTCCATCCCTCTCGCTCTCACAGCAACGAGGAGTGCATGAAGTGAAATATGATGCCTCGCGTTGTCCCTTGCTCCATCCTGCTCACGACCCATGTGTCACTCCCTACTGCCCTCCCTCCCTCCCACCCTTCGCCCACCCACCCACCTATCCCTCCCCGCCGCCCTCTCCCCGCACAGGCATGATGGGCATAGTGGACTACAGCAACGAGGAGGACATGAAATATGCGGTGAGTCAGGAAGCTGGGTGAGTCAGGAAGCTGGGTGAGTCAGGAAGCTGGGTGAGTCAGGAAGCTGGGTGAGTCAGGAAGCTGGGTGAGTCAGGAAGCTGGGTGAGTCAGGAAGCTGGGTGAGTCAGGAAGCTGGGTGAGTCAGGAAGCTGGGTGAGTCAGGCAGCTGGGTGAGTCAGGCAGCTGGGTGAGTCAGGCAGCTGGGTGAGTCAGGCAGCTGGGTGAGTCAGGAAGCTGGGTGAGTCAGGAAGCTGGGTGAGTCAGGCAGCTGGGTGAGTCAGGCAGCTGGGTGAGTCAGGCAGCTGGGTGAGTCAGGAAGCTGGGTGAGTCAGGAAGCTGGGTGAGTCAGGCAGCTGGGTGAGTCAGGCAGCTGGGTGAGTCAGGCAGCTGGGTGAGTCAGGCAGCTGGGTGAGTCAGGCAACTGGGTGAGTCGGGCAGCTGGGTGGGTGCAGTGAGTAAGGCAGCTGGGCTATGGGGCAACACTTGATGGAGGGACTAAGTCAGTCAGGCAGCTGGGTGGGTCGGTGGGACGTGACAGCAATGGGGTGACTGAGTAGCCACATGTGGGCAAGTCAGGATAAGTTGGGCTATCACTCACTATCACTCACTATCACTCACTATCACTCACTATCACTCACTATCACTCACTATCACCCTCCCATTATTCTCCTCCATGCGCTTTTTTCCATCTGCCGTTCACTCTTTACGCAGCAGGCCGGGGCAGCATAATGGCGTGAAATTCAGAGTTTGAAAACAAGAGAGTATCCGGAGTGATGGTTGAACCGTGCACCAATCAATCCTTGACATGTGCATTCACGGCCCCTCCTCCCTCCGCTTTCCAATCTCCCTCCTCCCTCCGCTTTCCAATCTCCCTCCTCCCTCCGCTCTCCCCCCTCCCTCCACTCTCCCCTCGCCCTCCTCCCTCCGCTCTCCCCTCGTTCTCCTCCCTACCCTCTGACCCCTCAACGCCAGGTCCGGGAGCTAGACGAGACGACTCTGAGTAACAAACGAGGTTAATTCTCAGCCGGCTTAAAAACCTTAACCCCCTACCCCACACCCCCCTACTTACCTCCCCCCACCCCCCCCACCCCCCTGTACCTCTCTCCACCACATCAGATCCGCAAGCTAGATGACTCCGAGTTCAAAAACCCCTTCTCCCGCGGCGTCTACATTCGTGTGAGTCCCGAATCCGCTCCCAGGCCCTTTTCAGCTCCGTTCATAACCCTCTGAGGTGGTTGAGTGAAAGAAAACCTCAGGAAGATTCCAACCCACGTCTATTTGATTAAGCCATCTCACAGTTTCCTTTTCCCTGCTGTAATGTTTTTACTCGTGTCCTGTGCCAGTCCGGAACCTGCATTAATTCAATCTAGCCACCAACCTGTTATGCTTTTCGAATGAACACCATACACACGACCACTCTCGTTTGTTGCACAAGCCCCCTACGTCACACAGATGCTCGCTAATCCACATGCACCACACTGCACCCTCCTTCCTCCTGCCCTTCCCGTGCTTCAACATTCAACAGACCAGCACATTGTTTCAGGTTGTAAGTCTTGGTCCGCACCTTTCGTGCCATTCCCTCGCATGCCTAATCGCATCAGGTGCGTGAGGAGAGCGAGACGGGTCGTGACCGCAGCAGGTCACCCCTTCACCTATTTTTCTATACCTCACTTTCCACCCCTTTCTCATGCCTGCTCTCGCCAGGTGCGTGAGGAGAGCAAGACGGGTCGCGACCGCAGCCGGTCACCTCGTCGTCGCGAGCGGTCTCGTTCCCGTTCGCGCTCGCGCTCCCGCTCTGCCTCGGGTTCGCGCTCGCGATCTCGCTCCAAGTCCAAATCGCGCTCGCGCTCGGTACGTCAAGTCACACGTCACCTCATCGTCGCGAGCGATCCCTCTCCCGTTCACGCTCCCACTCTTGCTTGCGCTCCCGCTTGCCTCGGGTTCACGCTCCCGATCCCGCTCCAAATCCAAGTCGCGCTCGCGCTCGGTACGTCAAGTCACATGTCACCTCGTCTGGTTCTCTGCTTCTGGTTCTCGCTCTGCTTCTGGTTCTCGCTCTGCTTCTGGTTCTCGCTCTGCTTCTGGTTCTCGCTCTGCTTCTGGTTCTCGCTCTGCTTCTGGTTCTCGCTCTGCTTCTGGTTCTCGCTCTGCTTCTGGTTCGCCCGCCTGATTCCGCTCCAAGTCCAAGTCTCGCTCGCGATCGGTACGTTGAGATCCAAAGTGTGGCTACAGAGAGGTGCTCCTTGCTCCTGATCAAAAGTCTCTTCGGCCCTTCCTGCAGCGCAACAAGTGTGGTTCCAAGTCTCCCTCTCGCTCCTCCCGTTCCTTAATTCAAGACCGAGAATCCCTCGTCACATCGCCCCTCTTCTCACCCCCCCCTCCTCCCCCTCCTCTCCCCCCCCCCCCCCCCCCCCCCTTCCCCCCCCACCCCACCCCTCTCTCTGCAGCCTAAGAAGAGTGGTTCCAAGTCGCCCTCTCGCTTTCGTCCATTCTCAACCAGACTGCACCCCCCTCCTCCCTCACCTCCCCCCCCTTTCCACCTCCCTGCTCCCACTGCAGCCTAAAAAGAGTGGTTTAAGTCTCCCTCCTCGCTGCCATCGGTTCTCAACTACACCACCCTCCCGCTTTCCCTCCCCCCTACCCCCCCTCCACCTCCCTGCTCCCATGCAGCCTAAGAAGAGTGGTTCCAAGTCGCCCTCTCGCTCGCGCTCTCGATCCAAGTCTCCCGCCAAGTCCCCCGAGCGTGCTCGCTCCCCTGTAAGAAATTGTCTCCTTTCTTTGCCTCTCAGACTCTCTCTCCCCCTCTCTCTCTCTCCCCCCCAATCCCTCTCCACCCCCCTCCCCCCTCCCCATCCGTCCTTCACCCCCCTTCTATCCCATCCCACTGTTTCTCCTCTTGTAGACAGTCCATTCATTACTGATGTGCCTATCCTTGCACGTTTGTGTTTTTTTATGATGCATAAGCATGCTCACTCATGGTTTTTATTGCACGATCATCAATGGTGCTAACACTTAATCATCCACTCCCTCACCACTCGTTCATCCCTCACCTTATGTTCATGCCTCACCTCTCATTCATGACCAGCCTCTCGTTCATGCCTCACCTCTCATTCATCCCTCGCCGCTTATTTTTCTTTCAGGCTGGCAGTGATGGGAAGGCAGCATCGGGTTGAGTGATTTTACCTGAGAATGCTGGACGTTATTCAGCCCGCGTGGTCGAGTGGGATGAGTTTCAGAGTGCTGACTACTGCGTTTGAATTTCTGGAAGAACGTACCTACATTTCTGGGAGCTTGAAATGAGGATGTCCTAGATTTCCTGCACATCTGGCACCTGATTTCGGAATTTTGTTTGTAATGCTGGTACAATATCACTAATTTGATGCAACTTTTGTCCAAACACAAAGACAAAGGTAGGCAGGACAAGGCTGTACATCTAACGATCATGTATGAGTGACGAGGAGTGGGAAAAACAAGTGGTTCATGAGATGCTGCACCTATAAACATAGTGAGTGTTCACCAGCCGAAAAGGAATCCCGTCCGCCGATGCCGGGGATCGAACCCGGATCTTCCGCGTGACAGGCGGAGATACTGACCATTATACTACATCGACATGTATATATGTCTAAATTAAACTATCAAATCAATTTTTTGCCTCACAGGCGGAGATGCTGACCATTTAATTAATGCAGAGCCTGCGGCCGGCTGGTTCTGCAGCGGTCGAACCGTCCGCCTGTGCGACCCGCGACCGTTGACCTCTCAGTGCACGACTTCTTTTTCCTAAGTACCGTGATCTGGTCTTCAAGCCCGTCGTCAGCGTTGCGTTTCTGCCGTCAGCTGCGCGCTTTCGACGTATCCTCTCAAAGCCCGACCTTGACGGAGCGCTTCTGGCGCCATTTCCTCAACGATCAAAATCGAATCGTCTGATGCGGGGAAGGTCGGATTGAGTTACTCCAAAAAGGCGGGTGTCGTGAATTCTGTGACGTGCACTACCCATGCCGTGTTGAGACTCGACCACCCTTGCCAGTCCTCTCCGCATGCAGGTCGGTGGGATGTTCAAGTTTCCTCATTGTCACCTCACAACTCCCTGCTCGCACAACTGTTGGTGTTCCCTCCTCCCTCCTCCCTGCTCCCTGCTCCGTGCTCCCTGCTGCTTGTTGCCTCCTCCCTCCTCCCTCCTCCCTGTTCCCTTCTTCCTCCTCCCTGTTCCCTGCTCCCTGCTCCTCTGCAAGCAATGGCCTGCTTATCTGCCGCTCACTTGCCCCCTGTGTCAAATAGCCATACCCCACTTCAATGAAACCACGCCAGGCAGGCAGGAACCACCACACCACACTCTACTAAAGTGTTTTGAGTCGACTTAAAACGCCACTAACATGCCCCTTGTGTCAAGTAGCCATACCCCACCTCAGTGAAACCACACCAGGCAGGAACCACCACACCACGTTTCACTAAAGTGTTGCTGGAAACGTAAGTGTAACATTTATGGCCTTAGAGCTAGCGATCCTTTCGCCCTTAGGTTTTGATGAACCAGGGAGAGCTTGAACTTCTTTTGGTATCTGTACGTTCTGTGCGGTGCAATGCGGTACAGACGACCTCGGAGGCGGTGGATTACGGCACAATGCGGTGGGGCCATACAGAAACATGGATGGGGCCGAGACGGCCTATTCCGTGAGGTGCTAGCCGCTGTGCAGAGGCCTCGCGCGTCCAGCCATACACGGATACGTGCGTGCCTTTGCCTTTGCTTCCCTGTGACGTTTGAGCCATACACGGATACGTCCAGCCATACACGGATACGTCCAGCCATACACGGATACGTTCGACTCAAAAGTCACCTTTGCCTTTGCTTCCCTTCTCACCACCCTGTCTCCCCTTCTCACCACCCTGTCTCCCCTTCTCACCACCCTGTCTCCCCTTCCCAACCCCCCCCTCCTCTCCCCCCTAACCCCATTCAGCATGGGCCACGTGTTCTGCCTCTTGTGCGTGCTCCGTGCCATGTGCCGCTGCCATGCTTACTCCCTACCCGCTTCTCCATCTTCCCCTTCCTCACTCCTCCCCACTTCCCTTCCCACCTCTCCCCCGCCCCCTAACCCGTTCAGCATGGCGCACGTGTTCTGCCTCTGCTGCGTGCACCGTGCCCTGCCGCCCTACAGCCCCAATTGCCCCTTCCCCCACTCCTCCCCCCCCCCTCTCTCCCCCACTTCCCCTTCCCCTCTCAGCGTGCGGGCAGGTGTTCTGCTTTTGCTGCGTGCACCGTGTGCCAAGACGCCCTACAGCGAGCCGCTAAGAGCCGCCAAGAGCCGCTAAGAGCCGCTAAGAGCCGCCAAGAGCCGCTAGGAGCCGCTAAGAGCCGCCAAGAGCCGCCAAGAGCCGCTAAGAGCCGCTGCCCCATGATCGCCTGAGGGACGTGCTGCAGGAGGAGAGGGCTATAGGGGCTCCTTCTCGCCCTCCGCGCCTTCCATGCTTGATGCTGCCACGGCACCAGAGGAAGTGGTGGTGGTGCAGCTCGCCTGAGGGACGTCGCTCAAGAGAAGGAGGAGAAGGCCATAGGGGCACCTTCTCGCCCTCCACGCCGTCCATGCATGATGCTGCCACGGCGCCAGGGGGAAGTGGTGGTGGTGTAGTGTGTTGAAGAGACATGCTGGAGGAGCAGAGGGCCACGAGGCATCATCCGGCCCTTGGTGCCCTCCGCAGCACAGGGCAGGGCAGAGGGGCGACAGAGGGCAGAGGGGCGACGAAGGGCAGAGGGGCGACAGAGGGCAGTGGGGCGGCAGAGGGCAGAGGGGCGGCAGAGGGCAGTGGGGTGGCAGAGGGCAGTGGGGCGGCAGAGGGCAGTGGGGCGGCAGAGGGCAGTGGGGCGGCAGAGGGCAGTGGGGCGGCAGAGGGCAGTGGGGCAGCAGAGGGCAGTGGAGCGGCAGAGGGCAGTGGGGCAGCAGAGGGCAGTGGAGCGGCAGAGGGCAGTGGGGCGGCAGTCTGGGCTTCCAGTGGCAGTGGTGGGCGGCTGTCTGTAACACGTGTGGCGGTGGGGGGCGGCTGTAACTCGTGTGGCGGTGGGGGGCGGCTGTAACACGTGTGGCGGTGGGGGGCGGCTGTAACACGTGTGGTGGTGGGGGGTGGCACGAGCCGCTAAGTGCCGCTAAGAGCTGCTAAGAGCTGCTAAGAGCCGCTAAGAGCCGCTAAGAGCCGCTAAGAGCCACCTCTCCCTCCCCCGCTCCCCCTCCCCCCGTTCTTTTCCCTCATCAGCACTTTCCCCCCATCTGTGTGCGGCCGCGTGTTGTCTTCTTCTGGTGCAAGAGCCGTTAGGAGCCGCTAAGAGCCGTTAAGAGCCTCTAAGAGCCGTTAAGAGCCGTTAAGAGCCGTTAAGAGCCTCTAAGAACCATTAAGAGCCGTTAAGAGCCGTTAAGAGCCTCTAAGAGCCGTTAAGAGCCGTTAAGAGCCGTTAAGAGCCTCTAAGAGCCGTTAAGAGCCGTTAAGAGCCGCTAAGTGCAGCTGCCCCATGGTGCGCATGCGCGCCGTGCCATGTACCGCTGCCCTGCCATGTTTACTCCTTACTTCTCCTCAAAACCTTACTGCTTCTGGTCTGCTGGCACCGCTTCCTCTCCACCGCCTTCCCCATGGACCACCGCACACTTCTCTTCCCCACGGCCTTCTCATCCCCCGCGCCCCCCATGGCCTCCCCCACCGTCTGCTGGCTGCTGGCACCGCTTCCTCTCCACCGCCTTCCCCACGGACTACCGCGCACGCCTCAGGGACGTGCCGTGCCGGAGGAGAGGAGAGGGTTAGGAGCACCTACTCGCCCTTGTTGCCCTCCTCTCTTGAGGCAGAGCTGGTCGTGGAGGGGGATGGTGGTGCAGCTCGCCAGAGAGGGATGCGCTACAGGAGAGGGACATGGGGACCTTTTCGCCATCTGTGCCTTCCATGCTTGACGCTGACTCGGCGCCAGGGGGAGTTGGTGGTGGTGCAGCTCGCCAGGAGAGCAAGTGTGGAGGTGTAGGGGAGGCGAGAGGGGAGGGGCTATCGGGTGTGCTTGTTGCCCACTGCACCACTTCCCCTTCTACAGGAGAAGGCTACGGGGATCTTTTTCGCCGAGTACCGCCGAGTACCGCCGAGTACTCTTCCATCCCCCACTTCTCCACCATCTCTCCACCTTCCTCGCGCGCGCGGCACAGGGATGTGATGTGTTGGAGGAGGGGAGGGCCGTGGGCACCTTCCCTTCTCAGATGGTGTGGAGCTGGTAGTGCGGGGGAATGGTGGTGCAGCGCAGGAGGGGCGCGCCATGGGGACCTTCTCGCCCTCCTCGCCCCCGCTGCTGGCAGAGACAGAGGCAGAGGCAGAGGCAGAGGCAGAGGCAGAGGCAGCGGCAGAGGCAGCGGCAGCGGCAGCGGCAGCGGCAGCGGCAGCGGCAGCGGCAGCGGCAGCGGCAGAGGCAGAGGCAGAGGCAGAGGCAGAGGCAGAGGCAGAGGCAGAGGCAGAGGCAGAGGCAGAGGCAGAGGCAAAGACAGAGCCTGAGAGCAGAGGTGGCGCAGGCAAGGGAGTGGAGGAGTGCGCCATGGGGACCTTCTCACCCTCCGCGTCCATCGTGGCTGAGACAGAAGGAGCAGAGGGAGGGCGCGGGGGAGGAGAACAGGTGGAGAGATGGTGGAGGAGTGGGGGATGGAAGAGGGGAGGGGCCAGAGGAGGGCAGGGGAGGGCAGGGGAGGGCAGGGGAGGGCAGGGGAGAACGGTTGAGTGAGGCGGAGGAGGGGGTGTTTCTGGCGTTCTGGCAGCAGCAGTTCTCATGTGCTGAGCGAGGGGAGAGGGGTGAAGGGGGTGAGAGGGGTTAGAGGGGTGAGAGGGGTGAGGGTGAGAAGCGTGACGGTGAGAGGATTGAAAATGAGAGGGGTGGGATGGTGGGTGCTGGGCGCACGGGAAGCAGTGAGCATGCGAGACAAGGGAGGGAAGGAAGGGAGGGAGGACGAGGAACAGGGGAAATCGGAGAGGAGGGAGGAGGTTAAGGAGGAGAAAGGAGAGCGAGCAGGGAGAGGAGAGGGAGGTTGTTAGCAGCTGGTTCCGTTGCACAGGAGGTGCGAGAGAGGAGGGCATGAGAGAAGTGGGTGTGAGAGAGTGGATGGGAGAGAGGGGAGCAGGGGGCGATGAGAGAACAGGAAGAGGAGAGGAGGGGAGGAAACAGGGGGGGCGTGAGTGGGCAACCAGTCTCTTCATGCACATCAGCGCGGGGTGCGATGGGAGTGCTTGGTCACGGCTGCCCCTCCCCCCCCTCCCCCCCTCCCCCCCCTCCCACCCTCACCCTTCAACCTCCCCCCCACAGCAGCAGGCACGGCAGGGTGGCGGAGGTGGTTGGCGTTGCTGGCCAAGTGGGGCATCGGCTGGGGCACTGGCGATCGCTGCAGGTTCCGGCCAGCACCAAATGCGAGAACATTTGGGGTCGTTTCCTGCTCTAGGTAAAAAGCGTACCAAAAAAAGTGATGGGCTGAGTGCCAAGTTTAGTTCGATGGTTTTTTTTTTTTCCTCAGCCACATTCAGTGCAGCAGGGTGTTTTGACAGATGGGTTTGTCCCATTTGTGGAGCAATAGTTGGGTTCACCCCGTGCCTCACCCTTATGCTATCCCCTCGTCATTTCACCATTTGGGATGGATGGGCAATGGATAGGCTAGATTAGCCAGTTGCCAGAGCATGAAGGCTTGAGGTTTGTTCCATCTTATTGAGCCTGTCCCCCAAGTGGCCTGTTCTGCAGCCTATGCTCTCCCGTCGCGAGCTTGCTCCCCTGACTTGATTTTTTGGGTAGCCCAGACGTTTGCCGTCCAAAATTTAGCTGCTAGAAGCCAACAGGCAGGTTTTGAGGGGGGAATCAAAAGCCTGCAGAACCAGCCTTAGTCGGGCTCCCGAATAAGAAGTAGAACCGCCGATGCCGGGGATCGAACCCGGATCTTTCGCGTGACAGGCGGAGATACTGACCATTATACTACATCGACACATTTGCAAGACTGCACATTTCGTCCACAGTGAAACAAACACCTGCAGCCGCGATGCACGGCTGATTTCGCTGCGGTTGAACCCTGTGAGACCCAGGACCCATAACGGTGCGTTTCTGCCGTCAACTGTGTGATTCCGACGTATCATCCTAAAACCCGACCTTGACGGAGCGCTTCCGGCGCCATTTTCTCAACGATCAGAAACGACTGTGCGGGAAAAAGTCGGATTGATTGACTCAAAAAAGGCGGGTGTCGTGAATCCCATGCCGTGCTGATATTCAACCACCCTTGCCTGTCCTCTTTGCATCATCCTGGGTCGGTGGGATGTTCAAGTTGTCCTCATTGTCACCTCACAACTCCCTACTCGCGCAACTGTTGCTGTTCCTTCCTCCCGGCTCCCTCCTCCTTGCTCCCTCCTTGCTGCTCCCTCCTCCGTCCTCCCTCCTCCCTGCTCCCTCCTCCCTGCTCCCTCCTCCCTGCTCCCTTCTCTTCTGCGTGCAGCGGACTGCATCACTCCCGCTCGCTTGCGCTCCCGTGCAGCGCAAGCACATGCTGCCCTCGCCTCCTCTACTGCCTGGCGGCCGCATTGGCCAACCACCGTGTGTCAGGCAGGCAGCCTTAGCCTGGCTCGTGCCAGCTAGGATAGGAAACCCCCCTCGACATTCTAAGTGTTGTTGGAAACACTCTAGGCAACAGTGGCCCCCGGAATGAGTTCTTTTTGAGGCGCCTCGGAAACTCAGCAGCAGTGGCCTCAGAGCTCTTTGCCATGAAAATATACGAATCAGCAAGAGCTAGAGCGACTGTTCTGTCCGGTTCAGTGTGGTTCAGAAGGCCACGGTGACGCTTGATCACGGCACAGTGTGGTACAGAGTGGTGGTGCCGTACAGCAGAGTCATCGCGCCATGGAACTCGTCTTGAGAGTAGCCACGCAGTACAGAGGCAAACCTTGCGCGTGGAAGCATACCATGCCATGCCATGCCTTGCCATGCCATGCCATGCCATGCCATGCCATGCCATGCCATGCCATGCCATGCCATGCCATGCCATGCCATTCCATGCCATGCCATGCTATGTTATGGGGGCACACGTGTCCCTGGTCCAGGCCACACTTATGCGCCACTACCTCTTCCCTCTCCTCTCCCTTGTCCCTCTCCTCTTCCCCCTCCCTTCTCCGACTCCCCCGCCCCCATTCAGCGTGCGGCCACATGTTGTGCTTCTGGTGCGTGTATCGCGCCATGACGCCCTACAGCGACTGCCCTGCTCTAAGTGTAACAACTTCCCGCTGCCCCATGTGCCCCACGTGCCCCATGTGCCCCACGTGCCCCATGTGCCCCATGTGCCCCACGTGCTCCATGTGCCCCATGTGCCCCATGTGCCCCGTGTGCCCCCCGCTGCCCCATGTGCCCCACGTGCCCCATGTGCCCCATGTGCCCCATGTGCCCCATGTGCCCCATGTGCCCCACGTGCCCCACGTGCCCCATGTGCCCCATGTGCCCCATGTGCCCCGTGTGCCCCATGTGCCCCACGTGCCCCATGTGCCCCATGCCCCATGTGCCCCACGTGCCCCACGTGCCCCATGTGCCCCATGTGCCCCATGTGCCCCATGTGCCCCACGTGCCCCATGTGCCCCATGCCCCATGTGCCCCACGTGCCCCACGTGCCCCACGTGCCCCATGTGCCCCATGCCCCATGTGCTCCATGTGCCCCATGCCCCATGTGCCCCATGTGCCCCATGCCCCATGTGCCCCACGTGCCCCACGTGCCCCATGTGCCCCATGTGCCCCATGTGCCACACTGCCGCTGTGCCTTCACGCACTTTGCTGGCATGTCACCGGGGTGTGCTGTGCTGGCTGCTGCACCACTTCCTCTGCCGCTTTCCCTGCCGACTACTGCGGAGGCAGAGGCAGAGGGAGAGGCCAAGAGCAGGGCGAGGGTGGAGGTGTAGGGGAGGCGAGAGGGGAGGGGCTATCGGGTGTGCTTGTTGCCTGCTGCACCGCTTCCTCTCCGCCGCCTTTCTCACCGACTACCGCCTTTCTCACTACCCTTCCCCGTGCCCTTCTCACCCCCTGCATTCCCCACGACCCTCCCCGGGGTGTGCTGTGCTGTGCTGCCTGCTGCACCGCTTGCTCCCCGCCATAAGGACCATCTTTGCCGACTACCGCGCACGCTTCAGGGACGTGCTGCAGGAGGAGAGGGCCCGTCTCTTGCAGGGCGCCATCCCGTCCTTCTTGCCCGCCCTGCATGATGCTGACTCGGCGCCAGGGGGAGTGGTGGTGGTGCAGCGCGCCAGGGAGGGATGTGCTGCAGGAGGAGGAGAGGAGAGGGCTATAGGGGCGACTTTTCGCCCTCCGCGCCTTCCATGATTGAAGCTGACTCGGCGCCAGGGGGAAGTGGTGGTGGTGCAGCGCGCCAGGGAGGGATGTGCTGCAGGAGGAGGAGAGGAGAGGGCTATAGGGGCGACTTTTCGCCCTCCGCGCCTTCCATGATTGAAGCTGACTCGGCGCCAGGGGGAAGTGGTGGTGGTGCAGCGCGCCAGGGAGGGATGTGCTGCAGGAGGAGAGGAGAGGGCTATAGGGGCGACTTTTCGCCCTCCGCGCCTTCCATGATTGAAGCTGACTCGGCGCCAGGAGAAGTGGTGGTGGTGCAGCGCGCCAGGGAGGGATGTGCTGCAGGAGGAGAGGAGGAGAGGAGAGGGCTATAGAGGCGACTTTTCGCCCTCCGCGCCTTCCATGATTGAAGCTGACTCGGCGCCATGGGGAAGTGGTGGTGGTGCAGCGCGCCAGAGAGAGACGTGCTTGACGAGGAGAGGAGAGGGCCATGGGGGCGCCGTCTCGTCCTTCTTGCCCTCCCTGCTTGATGCTGTCTCGTCCTTCTTGCCCTCCCTGCTTGATGCTGTCTCGTCCTTCTTGCCCTCCCTGCTTGATGCTGTCTCGTCCTTCTTGCCCTCCCTGCTTGATGCTGTCTCGTCCTTCTTGCCCTCCCTGCTTGATGCTGTCTCGTCCTTCTTGCCCTCCCTGCTTGATGCTGTCTCGTCCTTCTTGCCCTCCCTGCTTGATGCTGTCTCGTCCTTCTTGCCCTCCCTGCTTGATGCTGTCTCGTCCTTCTTGCCCTCCCTGCTTGATGCTGTCTCGTCCTTCTTGCCCTCCCTGCTTGATGCTGTCTCGTCCTTCTTGCCCTCCCTGCTTGATGCTGTCTCGTCCTTCTTGCCCTCCCTGCTTGATGCTGTCTCGTCCTTCTTGCCCTCCCTGCTTGATGCTGTCTCGTCCTTCTTGCCCTCCCTGCTTGATGCTGTCTCGTCCTTCTTGCCCTCCCTGCTTAATGCTGTCTCGTCCTTCTTGCCCTCCCTGCTTAATGCTGTCTCGTCCTTCTTGCCCTCCCTGCTTGATGCTGTCTCGTCCTTCTTGCCCTCCCTGCTTGATGCTGTCTCGTCCTTCTTGCCCTCCCTGCTTGATGCTGTCTCGTCCTTCTTGCCCTCCCTGCTTGATGCTGTCTCGTCCTTCTTGCCCTCCCTGCTTGATGCTGTCTCGTCCTTCTTGCCCTCCCTGCTTGATGCTGTCTCGTCCTTCTTGCCCTCCCTGCTTGATGCTGTCTCGTCCTTCTTGCCCTCCCTGCTTGATGCTGTCTCGTCCTTCTTGCCCTCCCTGCTTGATGCTGTCTCGTCCTTCTTGCCCTCCCTGCTTGATGCTGTCTCGTCCTTCTTGCCCTCCCTGCTTGATGCTGTCTCGTCCTTCTTGCCCTCCCTGCTTGATGCTGTCTCGTCCTTCTTGCCCTCCCTGCTTGATGCTGTCTCGTCCTTCTTGCCCTCCCTGCTTGATGCTGTCTCGTCCTTCTTGCCCTCCCTGCTTGATGCTGTCTCGTCCTTCTTGCCCTCCCTGCTTGATGCTGTCTCGTCCTTCTTGCCCTCCCTGCTTGATGCTGTCTCGTCCTTCTTGCCCTCCCTGCTTGATGCTGTCTCGTCCTTCTTGCCCTCCCTGCTTGATGCTGTCTCGTCCTTCTTGCCCTCCCTGCTTGATGCTGTCTCGTCCTTCTTGCCCTCCCTGCTTGATGCTGTCTCGTCCTTCTTGCCCTCCCTGCTTGATGCTGTCTCGTCCTTCTTGCCCTCCCTGCTTGATGCTGTCTCGTCCTTCTTGCCCTCCCTGCTTGATGCTGTCTCGTCCTTCTTGCCCTCCCTGCTTGATGCTGTCTCGTCCTTCTTGCCCTCCCTGCTTGATGCTGTCTCGTCCTTCTTGCCCTCCCTGCTTGATGCTGTCTCGTCCTTCTTGCCCTCCCTGCTTGATGCTGTCTCGTCCTTCTTGCCCTCCCTGCTTGATGCTGTCTCGTCCTTCTTGCCCTCCCTGCTTGATGCTGTCTCGTCCTTCTTGCCCTCCCTGCTTGATGCTGTCTCGTCCTTCTTGCCCTCCCTGCTTGATGCTGTCTCGTCCTTCTTGCCCTCCCTGCTTGATGCTGTCTCGTCCTTCTTGCCCTCCCTGCTTGATGCTGTCTCGTCCTTCTTGCCCTCCCTGCTTGATGCTGTCTCGTCCTTCTTGCCCTCCCTGCTTGATGCTGTCTCGTCCTTCTTGCCCTCCCTGCTTGATGCTGTCTCGTCCTTCTTGCCCTCCCTGCTTGATGCTGTCTCGGCCCCGTTGAAAGGTGGTGGTGGTGCAGCTCATGGCCACGGCGCCAGGCCAGGGAAGAGACGTGCTGCAGGAGGAGAGGGCCGCGGGGCACCATCTTGACCTCCGCGCCCTCTGCAGCAGAGGGTCCGGGGTGGCAGAGTGGGGCGGCAGAGTGGGGCAGCAGAGTGGAGCGGCAGAGTGGGGCGGTAGAGTAGGGCGGCAGAGTGGGGCGGCAGAGTGGGGCGGCAGAGGGCAGTGGGGCGGCAGAGGGCAGTGGGGTGGCAGTTTGGGCTTCCAGTGGCGGTGGGGGACGGCTGTATCACGTGTGGTGGTGTATATGAGAGCTGGGGCATGGCGAGGGGGGAGAGGAAGGGGAAGGGCGAGGAGAATTGGGAGGAAGGGGGTGGAGGAGCGGGGGTGGAAGGAGGGAAGGGGCGATTGGAGGAAAGAGAAAAGGCGAGTGGGTGTAGGGTACAGGAGGGCAGTTGAGTGCAGGGGAAGTGTTTCTGTGAACTGACAGCAGCAGTTCTTATGTGGGTGGGTGGGATGGGTGGGATGGGTGAAAGTGGTGGAATGGATGAGAGTCTTGAGAGGGGTGAGAGTGGTGAGAAAGGTGAGAGGGGTGGTTGGGATGGGTGGGATGGTTGAAAGTGGTGGAATGGATGAGAGTGGTGAGATAGGTGAGAGGGGCGGGTGGGATGGTGTTGGAATGGATGAGAAATGGAAGAGAGGGAGTGAGGTGAGGTGGGGAAAGGAGAGTGGATGGGGAGAGACGAGGGAGTCAATGTTGCTATTGTCAGAACTATGGAGTCCAAGTCTCATCGCATGCGCAAGAAGTTGAGGGGCAAAGAGGAGCAGGAGAAGTGGGAGAGTGACGGTGGTGGAAGGAGAGTGAGCGGGGAGAGAAGAGGGAGTCAATGTTTCTATTTCAAGAACTCTGGAGTCCAAGTCTCCTCAGGTCCGATCAAGCACACTTGCTGAGAACACTCTATAGCATTAATAGACCCAAGCAATGTACAGGTCAAGGGCCAACAGGCGTGAAGAGGAGGAGCAAAAGGGGCTGATGGGTGGCCGGTAAAGGCTCTCCTTAAACCGGGCAGTAGCGGCAGCAGCCCAGCCTGTGTCCTTCCGGGCGAGGGGGTCTTGCTCGGGGATCAGGTTGGTGATGGTGGCGTCGCAGAGCCACACCGCTTCTCAGTAGCAGATTCCGGGTGCCGGATAGAAGGATCAGCGAACTTGTTGACCACCGAGGTAAACTGGATTGTCTCCTTGTGGGCGATAACCCCCGCCAAAGTTGGTTTGGTCACGGCAGATCGGCACCTGGTGGGGTCACAGAGCCACACTGCTTTTGAGTCGACTCCGCATCTGAGTTGTCGCAAAGCAGGTTCCGAGTGCCGGATAGAAGAATCAGCGAACTTGTTGACCACTGAGGTAGACTCGTTTGTCTCCTTGTGGGCGATAAACCCCGCCTGAATTGGTTTTTGTCGCGGCAGTCACAGGTTTGGGGGATCGGGTACGGGGGAGGCCGAGCCGGAAGGTCACCGTGGCGGAGAAGAGAGCGGGTTGGGAAGTGATGGCGAGAAAGAAAGCAAGAGCAATGGCGAGGTCAGCTGAAGGGAAGGGTAGCATGTCCTCCAGAGTGGCGAGACCATTCGGGTGGGCCTTCTCTGCCCTGGTTCCTCTGAGGGCGTGAAGGTGGCAGGCGCCAAGCGCCGTTTGGAGCAAACGCTCCCCAATTGGCGGACCAGTCCCCCACAGAAAGGCAACCCAGGGTGTGGGGCATAGCAGATAGGAAGCTTCTCTGCTGACACACCGGGTGAGCAGCAGGACCTGGTAGATAGGATGCGGGGGGATCCATGTGGACCTGGAGAGGCAGCAGGAGGGATCTCGTCTGCTAAAGCACTGGTGCCGTGTTTGCGCGCTCGCAAATGAAGGCGGGGCAGACTGCTTCAGGCTGCACAGAGCGTGTTCTCGGCAGCCTGCCGCCACCGGCTCTGAGCACCAAGCCACTTGGTTTTCAGCCAATCCCCTTGATAGCTTCCCCCCCACCCCACCCCAAGCTGACTTTTGAGTCGATTCAAAAGCACCAAGCCACTTGGTTTTGAGCCAATCCCCTTGCTTTCCCCCCTCTCCCCCCAACCCCCCGGTTCTGAAAAATTGTTCCTCCCACGAGGGTCTTCCTCCATGAAGACTTGGGAGACTTCTGGGGACTGAGGGGCGGGGGAGGGGGGAGGGGGGAGGGGGGAGGGGGGAGGGGGGTTCGCAAGTAGGCGGCCTGCCGCCACCGGCCACGAGCACCAAGCCTCGAACTTAGCGGCAGTGTGGCGACCCGGAGCGGGTCTTTTTCGAGGCTGTGATTGACGACCAGGACACTCGGCTGGCTGTAGGATAGCCGGGTGAAGCGGAACAGGCACTCCAGAGGTGTGACGCCCCTTGAACGCAGCTGCTCGCTCAATGGCGTTGAATGCGTTTGCCAGATCCACCTGGAGAACGAGCTGGTTTGGATGGGTTTGGATGGGCGTCTACCTCATCCAAGCCCGGATGGACAGACAGCCGTAGGCTGGGTGCCACCTCCAGGCTTCGCGAGCGCTAGCAGGTACGAGGCGGTTAGGAAGACCGACAGCCCGCGGGAGAGACGCCCAGGTAGGTTAGTGTTGAGTGAAGATGCGTGAGGACGTCCGCTTTTGTGAGGGCAGAGTCACGAATGTGCTCAAATGTGGTTCTTGACGGGCCTGCCCTATTCTGTTTCAGGAGCTGTCAGTAGCAGACAGGTGGGCTGCGGAGGTCTTACTTCCATCAACTCGTGTGGTTAATAAATCGACGAGACAAACCCCGTGGAATGATTGGAAAATCCTGGTTAACTGTGAACTTAGAGCGTTGTCTTAGAGAGGCAGTCTTTTGTGAGGGCAGAGTCACGAATGTGCTCAAATGTGGTTCCTGACGGGCCTGCCCTATTCTGTTTCAGGCAGATGGTTGGTGGTGCACCAGCTGCATGCCCCGCCACCCAGTCTGGGAGCGGCAGGGAGGAGGACGGGTGGCGAGAGCAAAAGGCGAGCAGTGTCTCCTCTGAGTTGAGGCCGACCAGTCACCAGGGTGGCCTCCAGGGTGGTGAGGGTTGGGGTGATTTGGAATTGCGGGGTGCGACTTCAGATCTGTGTTGAGGGCGAGCTCCTTCTGGGCCCCCTTCTGTGTTGGAGGTAGACTCTGAAACCCCCTCAATCAGGGTTGTATAAGATTCGTCCGTTTCATCTCCCAGATTCGGGAGTGCTCACCACCCACGTCCCTTAGGTGTGTGTCCAGCCATATCCTCCACTGCGCAGCCCCTCTGCGCAGCCCCCCTCTCTCCCTTTCCAGGATTTCCCCCTCATCTGCGCTCTCTCACCTCACTCCAAGACCTTCCTTGTTCCGCCCGTCTCGTCCCCTCACCCTGTGTTTTTCCTACCCTACCTTCTCTATCCTCCTCTCTTGATTTCATCACTCTCCGCCCCCTTTCCCCACCCCCCTCTCTCTACCCCCACCAGGCCTTCCCCATAGTGGGGGCGCGCTACAGCTGCCTTGACTGCCCAGAGCGAGCGGGCTTTGGCCTCTGTGCTGCCTGCTACAGCTGCCCGCCCGTGTTGCCCCGCCCCGGTTGCGCTCCACCTTCTGCTTGTAACCCCACTTCGCTTCATCCCTCTCTCACCTCACTCCAAGCCCCATCTTGTTTTCCCTCCCCCCCTCCCTCATCAGCCTTTCCTCCTTCCTTCTCATTCCCCCTCTCTTGGTTTCCCCTCTCTTCCCCCCGTTCTCTCCCCCTTATCTCCTCCCTTGCCACAGGCCTTCCCCATAGTGGCGGCGTGCTACAGCTATCTTGCCTGCCTGGAGTGGGTGGGCTTTGATCTCTGTGCTGCCTGTTGTAGGGCGCTTCAACCCCCACATTGTGAAGTGTCTGTTCCATCGCACCGCATATGCGAATTAGTGAGTCTCTAACGATTGCCGGTGAGAGGAGGTTCTAACTCACTGCAGATAAGACAACATGCACTGCAAGGTGCAGGTGCGGCAGAGGGACGGTGTGCTGTAACGGATACTTGAATCAGTGAGCCCGGCTGTGCCTGTCTCTCCTCCATTCGTGCACGGCTGTGCAGCAATGGCTATTCCAATTGTCAGCATAGGCATTTGAACCCAGGAGGGACGGGGTGTTGCACCCTATGTGATGCGACCATGGACGCTCACAGGCATTCGAACGTTGACGCATCCATAAGCTTATAATGAATATAGGCTGCACCGCATGTTTGAATCGGTGAGTCTTGAACCGCTGCACCATGTGTGACTGAGTCAGGTCCATCCGAGCAGGTGTAGGTGCAGGCAACCGAGCACCATCCTGCAGGTGCAGTTCATTAATAACATAGGCTGCACCGCACCCTTTACATCGGTGAGTCTTGAACCGCTGCACCATGTGTGACTGAGTCAGGTCCATCCAAGTAGGTGCAGGTGCTGCTGCAGGTCTAACAACCCAGCACTCCACCCACCCCATCCGTCCCAACCAGTCCCGGCCCTTAATAACCCATCCCGACCCATTCCAACCCGTTCCGACTCGTCCCAACCAGTCCCGACCCGTCTCAACCCATCCCAATCTGTTCCAACCCGTCCCAACCGTCCCAACCAGTCCCGATCCGTCCCAGCCCACGCTGACGCGTTCCAAGCCACACTCTCCTGCCCATGCCGTCCGGAACTGACCCAAACTCACTCGGGCCGGTTCTGGGTCATAAGTCTCTATGTCCGGCCCATGTCAGAGGGATGGGAGGGATGTTCGAACTTGAGAGTGCAGGTGAAAGGGGTTGTCAGGCGCATGATGCGAGCAGTCAACGCAACACATGAGCAGAGAGTCACTCACATGTGATTCACCAGACATAGAGATTGGTTTTGTGCCACTTCCTTCGTGCTAGTTGGACAATGTAATGGCTTGTTTCTCCATTTGAGCCGACAGTGTTTTCATTATCATTTGATGCCAACTCCTTCCATCTTGCTCCCCCCCCACCCCAATGTTTCCAGATCAACGGGTGCTCATACAAAGTGGCCCAAATGTGCAAGAACCCTGTTGCCACTGGGCAGTTCTACTTGATTGCCAGACCCACTTTGGAGCACTAAGCTATCAACTAGGTGACTGTTGAGTCGACTCAAAAGTCACGTCATTTCTGCCTGATTGCTAGGCCCACACTTGGGAGCACTCAGCTATCAACTCGTTCCTTGGGGTTAACCGTCCACAGCCCTCTTTGCTTCCTTGCTGTGTACATCAGCTTGCGACTTCCCAGCGTAAATTCTTGCTCCACATTTCCCTTACTCCCTAGGACAAAGTTCTGAGTTAACTTCACCCTCCCCCATAGCAGGTTGTCCGATGATAAACTTGCGCCGCCGGATGAGGTGGACCATGTAACTATCAATAATTGCTGCTCTCGATGTTTTCAACATGTATTTGACTGCCACTTCACAAAGTCTCTGGTCATTCTCTCAAGCATGCTATCCCTAGTCCCCTCTGCACTCCTGCATTGTAACACCCAGACCCCAGAAGCCGCTCCACTCAGCTTCACCCATATGCGAACCAGTTTGGGCGGAATCTCATGAATCTTAGAGTATAGGCATGAATGGGTTTGACTATCGAGAGAATTGGTACAAAGGAGAAACCTAAGGGGTTGTACCCTACAGTGAGTACCCCACTAAGCCTACCAAAACTATCACATATATATATATATATACATATATAAATGTTTGACACACCCCCATAGGCAAAGTGGGGGAGAACAGAGGGTCACAAGACCAGTCAGGAAATGCAAAGCAAGCTCAGGGTGGATCACAACGTCACCACGCAGTCTGAGGACAAGCAAAAGGCCACAAGGCTAGTTTACATGCAGAGATATATATGTAACAACAACAGCATAGTGATCTCTACCTACCAGAGCAAGCATGCAAGTATACATGTAGATCACAGTACAAACAAAGCCTACAGCAAGTGAGGAAGCGTAGGTACAAGGCCTAACAAAGTACAGAAACGCTGATGATTACCGTATGGCCCCGGATATAGGCGCATATGCGCTTATAATAAAATCATTTTTTTGAGGGGGGGCGCTTGTAATTGAGTAACGGCCATAAGCGCCGGCGCTTATATAATGACAAATACGAAATTATAATTTTAGAGCACCAAATTGTTCATTTTCTTCTTGCCATTTCAACCGAGTCGAAATGTTTTAGCGTCACAATGCAGAATCTCGCACAAGCGATATTCTGGGTTCACACACAGGCAAAGCCACGTCATTCCAGCACATCCTGACTGGACGCGCAGCCAGTCAGGTCTTCACGAGTCAAACGAAGCGAAATTGAAATCTGACTCGCTGCAAAAATGGATTTCGTTACTGTTTTAGGCAAGAATTTAAATTCAAATCGCATATGCGCTTATAATAAGTGAAGGTTTTCTAGGGGGGGCGCTTATAATCGAATTCCGGCCATAGGCGCCATGCTCCAGATAGAAGCGCCGGCGCCTTTAATCGGACGGCGCCTATATTCGGGGCCATACGGTACAAGGCGGACGTGCCTTGGTGAATATATCAGCAGTGTTGGCCCGAGTGGCCACGTGAGCAAGACGAAGCTGGCCACGCTACTGCAACTCTCGAGCAAGGAAGTAACGCAGAGCGATGTGCTTCGTTCTGTGCTCCAGTCTGTGCTCCTGACACAAGGCAATGGCGCCCTTGTTGTCGACGTACAGCACTGGAGGAGAACGAGGCCGCTCTCCCAATTCGGTCAGCAGGTAGGTGAGCCAGCGTAGCTTCTGTGCAGCCATGGCTGTGGCGTAGATCTCAGCCTCACAACTGGAGCCGAGAACTGAAGACGAGCATGTAGAACGCCAGGAAACTGAACCAAAGCCAAGGCTGAAGGTGTAACCCTGTGACGACCGCTGCGTAGCCTGGTCGTCAACCCAAGAAGCGTCCGAGTGACCAGTGAGGACAACATCACCCCGTCCTCCAAGCACTAGCCCCATGCCCGATGTACTGCACAAGTATCGTAGTACCCTCTTAGCAGCATCCATGTGCACCTTTCGGTGCCGACCAGGAGCCACGTAGCGAGCCTGAAGGCCAAGAGGGTACGCAAGGTCAGGACGAGTGCAGGTCATAAGGTACATGAGGCAGCCCACTAGCTCTGGGTAAGGACCACTTGGCTCTACGGACTCGTCCGAAGGTGGAGCTGAGAGCGAGTGACCTGTAGCCAGAGGAGTGGCCTGTGCTGAGGACCAGGTGAAGCCGAAGCGCCGAAGGACTTGCTGCACCATGTGTGACTGAGTCAGTGTGATGGTGTGGCGTGCTCTGTCCTGGGTGATCTGCAAGCCAAGGTAGCTGTGCAGCTCGCCCATGTCTGTGCACGTGTGTCTCTTCTGCAGCTCCGACTTCACGTGGGCGAGAGCCTCAGTGTCAGCAGTGGCAAAGACCAAGTCGTCGACGTACATGAGGATGTAGAACGGCGGCAGCGAAGTGTCGGTGCGCAGAAACAACGACGGGTCAGCACTCGACGGGGCAAACCCAAGAGCCGCAAGAGTCGTCCTCAGTGTGTCGTGCCACTCACGTGGCGCCTGACAGAGACCGTAGACTGGCCGCCAAAGGCTCCACTGGGTACCAGGAGGGAACGACCCAGTGAAACCAGGTGGGCGGCGCAGCCAGATCTCCTTGTGCAGACTGCACTGTAAGAAGGCTGTGGTGAAGTCAAGAGAGTGAAACTCGTAGTCACGCTGAGCGGCAGCGTGCAGCAGCACCCGAAGAGTGGTCATCTTTGGGGTGGGGGAGAAGGTCTGGAAGAAGTCAACTCCCTCACGCTGATTGAGCAACGTAACGAGCCTTGAAGACAGGCGGAGAACCCGACGGCCGCTTCACCCTAAAAATCCACATGCCACTGACGATGTTCGCCCCTAGGCGCCCACGCACCAACGCCTTCCACTCTTCCTTGCCACGTCCACAAGCATCCTCGCTGTCAAAGTCCGCATCACTGCCGTTGCGGTGTTTGAGAATTCTCAAAAACCAGCTCACTGCACTCCTCACTGCACTCCTGAACCATGATACACTTCCAACGCCAAGGTCCTCCAGCTGTTAGTCCAACAATTCTACCAGCTCCAACGCCTTCCAGTCTTCCTTGCCAAGTCAACAAGCGTCCTTGCTGTCAAAGTCCACATCACCCTCATTGTGGTGTGCACTCCTCATTGCACTCCTCACTGCGCTCCTGGAGCATGGTACACTTCCAACACCACGGTCCTCTCTTGAGACGTCTCAAAAGACCCCCGTTTCGGTGTGTACTCTGCACTACACTCCTCAATACCATGTTATACTTCCAACATCACTTTCCTCTGGCTGTTGGCCCAACAATTCTACCAGCACCAATGCGAATGTCTGCTCTTGCAGCTTTCACGTGCAGGCCTGGCAAGCCAGCTTGCCCAGTTTGTTCATCGACTTGAAGGGGAGATTGCGGTATGCTTGGTCTTCAATATGTAAGCCTTGCAGTACCTTCGTCTTGACCCGGCACTCTAAACTGGCCTACCCGAGACTCACCAACAACCGTGCCTTCAATCCAGTGGGCTACCTCATTGGTGACTGGCCCAACGAATCCACACTATAGAATCAGCTTCTTTTTCCATCTCAATCAAGCTAACTATCCTTGAACTTTCCCGAAACATGTAATGAATAGTGGCTCCCTCCCTGCTGAACAGTAACGTATTGCTGCTACCACAGTCGTTCGCGAAGGATTGTATTATGAGAAGATTCTACACGGAGAAAAACTGACGACAATCTTAGCCTCAGGCTCCACAACAATACCGTAACTAGAGCCAATTATATCGCAAACAAGTACGGCCCAAATAGAAGCGCAG